CCATGCTCTTCCCACTTCGCCCTATGCGCAAACCGTGGATATTCTCTCGTTGGAGTGAGTTATATGTAATATAAACAGTTTCGATTTTGCTTGTTTTAACCTCGCTTAGATGTATGCAAGTGACAAAATATTGAATTAAAAATTAATTGTTGATACAAGTTTTACTAGAAAATTATTTAAAGGAAAATGTGCGAGAAATCGGGAAAAAAACCGGGAGAAGAACATGTCGAGAAATTATCTGTTGATGAATCGTTTATTACGAAAAAATGCTTTCTAAAATTAACCAAAGATTCTGATTGTGTACGAGATATTCCTGCACATGTACCATGCACAACCAAATATCCAAAAGCCAATTTGTATTACGCTTTTGCCGAAGATACGCATCCGACAAAGAGGATTGTTACCGCTTCTAAGTTTTTTAAAGAACAAAAATTTGTATCGCATTCCGCGTCATATAAAGAACGTTTTCAGGATTCTAATTTAGAAGAAAAAGCTGTAAATCACTATCTTGGAACTGAACCACTAAGTTTCGTTATTTTCGGGAAACCAGGATTACTTCATGGCAACTTGGCATCAGCAATAGCCGATTCTTGGAATTGTGTTTTGATTTCGCCCGAATTGCTAATTCGGCAAGAAATCGACGCTGGAACCGAGAAAGGCCAATATATGGAAAATATTCTACGGTCCGGCGAAAATATAGGAAATGAAATTACTATGGATTTGATACGATGTAGGATCAGAAAAAGGGACGTCAAACACAGAGGTTACGTTGTTGAGTGTTTACCATTTATTCCTGACATGAACTTTGAAGATTCATCATATTCGAGTACTATTGTAAATATGGTATATCGTACTTGTTCAGAATTTTGCGAAAACACGGCAGATGAAAACTGCGAGGCATACGAAGATCTAATCATATCCAATAATGTAGGATGTAAGACTCAATATGAATATGAGCAAGAAATCGCTCGACAGATTGATGAAATGTTTACCGTGTGGCCGAGAAAACCTCTGATAATTATTTATCTCGTATGTCCGAAGCAAGATGTTGCGAGTAGATGTGCACGCTGGCGTATAGACCGTACTTCCCGAGAGTATAATATTTTTGATGAAAATGAATACACGCATCCATTTGACGGCGAATATGAACGCGACGAATCGGATACTTCGTACGATTTTTCTCAAGTTGCAAACGAACGATCAATCAATGATGTTGAAAGAATGTCGCATGTACTTTTCGATAAATATAAGTTACAATGTGATCTTTACGAACGATTGGCATTACCAGTCATCGACAAATGGATCCTCGCGCACGATCCTCAACATGTAATCCGCGTGGATGGTCGTAGTTCGACACGACGAATACTTCAGATTCTCAAAACGCGTTTGTGTACTTTGGCATTGCAGCCGTCGATCCTTCCAAAAAAAATGATCGTACAAGATGATATACATTTTCTGGAAACATCTACGGAAATGAACTTGAACGATGAGCTTGCGGAAAAGTCTACAGAAGAAATCGTCGAGATTCTGAGGCAAAGAGAAGTTGTGTCACCCAAATATCTCTGGAAACTTTCTGTGTGGAAATTTTATTGCCCCGTCGCGCTAGCCCAAGGACGAACCATTAAGGGACACTCGAAGCACGCAGTGCGATTTCTGAGTAATATTTTTTTTCTTTCTTCTCAAGAAGCTGTGAATTTATTCATCGAAAATCCGCGAACGTTTTTATTGCCACCGAATCCACGGCCAACTTGCAAAATAGCGGTGTTTGGCCCCAAATATACTGGTAAGTCGGAACTTAGCGCCCGATTGGCTGAAGTTTTTGGCGGAATAGTGATAAATGTTGACGAGATTAAGAAAAAATTAATTAAACAGCGCGAGGAATCTTTGAATCAAAAGTTATATGAGAAGGATTTGAATGTACAAATTTCGTTGGAGCCTATCGATAGATCTATTGATGAAAAAGCCGATATTATTATACAAAATATTAAGGAAATACCCGATGTGAAATTAGAAGATGAATTGCGAAGAGACGGTGGATATGTCGTGGATGGAATGTACGTAGACGATCAAATCTGGCGAAAAATTGTCGATGATGCTAACATTGTATTCGAAGATATCATCGTTTTGTTCGAAAAAGAGCCGTACGCTTACCTGCTGAATAAATTTCGCAATTTCTTTTATCTTGATAATTCAGTGTATAAAGTAGATTACGGAGGCGGAGATACGGAGGCGGATCAAAAAGAATATACAATGTTGCATGAAGATGCAGAATGGGAATATCTTGAACATTTAACACGATTCGAATCGGAATGGACAAAATTCGAGAAACAAATCCTTGAATTTGGAGGAAATGTGATAAGATGTAATCTTGCAGATATCCAAGATGCGACAGAATACGTTATAAATCATATCAAAAATCGATACTTCGACAGTTCTGTAAGCGTCCAAGGAAAAGATCAAGAGAACGAAATTCAACAGGAAAAAGCAACAGCTGCGGAAATTAAAACAAGTTTGGCTACTAAAAATGATAAAAAAATAGAAAACGAATATCTCTCGTATAGTATCGATCTTGAAACAGCCGAACAACTTCTCAATTGTGGCTACTTTTTTTTCAGCACCTTTGGACGATGGTGCCCCGTACAGGTGTACACCAACAAGATTCCTATTCAGATGTTTCTACCGATGAAAGATCGCGGCCAGATTTTTCCGGTTGTAATCCATCCTTATATCTATTTTCTTGCTGGTAAAGCAGCACTTTTCGCATTTGTAAATGATGTCTCGAGATATCTAACAGTTGTCTGCCGCCCGTCGCTTATTCCGCTTCGAATCTCCATCATCGGGCCGCCTCAATGTGGAAAAACAACGCTGGCGAATCGTTTCGCGGAAACGTACGGCATGAAGATAATTAATTGCGTGAAAGCGTTGCGCCATATGTTGAAATACTATTCTTGGACCGAGTCGGCGCGCAGGGCTGAGGAAGATGAGCTTCGAGCCGGTCAGCCTGCTTCGATCGAATCCATAATGCGTGCCATAGAAATGTTCTCCATAGGGCCACGCGCAGCAACTCAAGGTTACATTTTGGATGGTTGTCCTTCGAGTCGTGAGGAAGCCGAACAATTGGCTCTCTTGGGAATGCAGCCGATGATTGTACTCGATCTCAAAGCGGATCTAGAATTCTGCATCGAATGCCTCTCTAGGGATAATGATGACCTGACAAAGCCGCTGAAATACCCTGTCGATTTCCTATCGGACTGGTACGCGGACTGGCAAAAGGATCAAGCGACTTTCCGAAACTGGTTAAAAAAGTTTTCGCAGAACGTAATCGAGCTGGACGCTACTAAAAGTAAATGGCATGTGTGGACTCGCGCGGATTACGCGGTGCAGTCCCGATTCGCCGACATTATCCTTTACTTTAATGAGGCGGATTTGAAAAAAGTTCACAGTTTGAAGCATATGTGCGTGTCTCCTTACGAGTTTCGATCGCGGCAGAGTCGATACGCATCATATTGTCCCGTTTGCTTTTTGGAAAAAATCTTGACAACTTCCGGTCAATCAGTGGATAGTCAAGGAATGATACAGTTTAGGGAATACTTCTATTGGATCTGTCCGCAACATATGAATATTTTTATTAAAAATCCATTGCAGTACGTTTCATCTGTCAATGCAACATCTCTTCTCGACGAACGACCACGTATACTTAAAGAGACAGTCGATACGGAGCATGCTTGCTGGGCGCAACGTCTTCAAGTTAGAGGTTTCTGCCTGGTAACTTACGTCGATGGTCTACCGGATCGCAAGTTGACGAAAGGCAAAGCCGATCTAGGTGTTATCTTCAAGGATAAAGTATACCTCTTCTGTAGTGAAAACTGTCGTGAGAAGTTCCTCGCGCAGCACAACAAATACTCCGAAGTTGATGTTGCGTTTTCTCGCGAAATTCCGCTGATCAAAATGCGGCATCTGTCGAATGTCGATTTTTTGGAGCAAACAGTGGCGAGAATGTTAGTCGAAGCTGTGAATATAATCGCTATTCGTCGGCCGAAGATATTTGGTTTATCGGCGGCTGTCAGCGCAGCGATTTACATCGGCGTGTATATGAAGACGCACAATACGTCCGAGAACTTGCACGAGATGGATATTTACGAAGCTGTGAATAAACGAATAGAAGGACTACACAGAATTATAGAGATCGTCACCAATGCCATGAAGAAAAAAATTAATCCCTACGTGTCTTTACCAAAATATCCTAATTAAATTACGTTGTATGTTATCGACGGGTTGTATTTATCTCTAAATTATCTCCGTATGTTTCAAAATAATCATCATTAATCACTTTAACATTATTGAGAGTTTGAGCTATTTATTTGCTTTTTGTTTCAGCACGTCGTGTTCCGGTACCCGATGCGAGGTTCGACTATCTCTGCGAATATTTTAAGCCGGTTAGGTAAGAAACAGCAATGGATGTTCCTAAAATACGTTGACGTAGAGGGTAAATGTGTATAGCGGAATAAAAGCATATAGAGTACACCGCCTACAGATGCACCGTTGTGAAGGGAAACGAGTCGGAATAACCGTGGGACATTTCCATACTTCTTCGCTTTTATTCTCGCAAGACGGAAATAGGGAGCCAGGGAGCGATCTGCAATGCAGATCGGTCTAAATTCGTCTACGAAACGCAAAGTTTCCGTATTCGTCGGCGCTACACATTTTTTATTCGCGTTACTACGTGATGCAGCATTCTTAAACGCAAACATCAACGATAGATTTTTTAAATAAAACCATCGGTAGAAATAAAGCGCTTCGAGAATAATGTAGTATTGATATTGATGAAAGCTCTCGCGCAATATTTGATTTACGATGTTTGATGTATCTCTCATTTCACGCGAGAATGTGACTCTCATTGCTTCGAATAAGTCGCGAGTGCAGTTAATAAAACTCCTCGGTCGCGCGCCTTTGTCACGTAAATAGTTAAATGTAAATCATGCTTGTCTTGCGATCAGATTCGATGTGAATCGAAGCATTGAAAATGCGAAACAGCGTCGGATCAAAGAGCGACCGATTCATCCGCGGCCTCCATCGTCCGCTCTATTATCGTCCCGCGTTCTCGTCGTTCAAATCGTGTCGGAGCCCCGACCTCGACTAGCGGCACGTGTCGGATGATTCGACGATCCGTGATGAAAGCCGGCTAATACACCATCTCCCTCCGCCGCCCTTCCTCCATGGCTCGTCCACTTTCACCGACGCCTCCCTTCAAAGGCTAATTGTTTAATGAGCCCACTGGCATTAGCATTTAAATACACCTCGTTGTCACTGTCGTCGTCAACCCCCTCCTCCCCCTTTCCCCCCTGTTGCCATTCTGCGCGCGTGCATTACGTGGCACATGCCTTCGACCTTTGTAATCGCGATCATCCGTGATCTCCGTTTCGAAGGGAATCAATATGCGGATGCGAAGAGCGAAATAATACCATCCCATGCACAACGACTGATCACACATTTACGCTAATAAATATTTATAAGACTGATCTGATAATTTATTACTATTTATTATTGTTGAAATATATTATTCGATAGTTTATTTTTGTCAAAGATATGTGTAATTATAAACTTGGATTTTTTTCTAGTAAAGTTCCGGCCTTCTTGCATGTGATGGACATTGCTGGATTAGTGAAGGGCGCTGCCGAGGGGCAAGGCTTAGGAAACAACTTTCTCTCACATATTGGAGCTTGCGACGGCATATTTCATCTTTGTCGTAAGTGCGCTATCATATTGTTGTTCGTCAGTGCTATTTGTCTCCCGTTAATATCGTTTTAATGTTTGCGCTGACGTGTACGGTGCGTTCCCATGTAAATAAATGAATCGCGCGTTTTCTCACGGAATCATTTTGAATACGGAATCGCGATAAAAGTGATTATAACGGGGCAGAAATATTTTGTCGATGAGATCGAGAGATTTGTTCTAAGCGATATTTATTTACTTCGCGCTTTACCCGTTGAACATATAATCGCGGATACGAGCTTATTTTTATGATATGTACATATATCCTGTTGGCGATACAAGCATATGTTATGACCGTCGTTAACTATTTTCCTAGAAGTACATTACATTATTGTTCTTCATGTGTGTAATAATGCAAATCGACCGTCCTATGCTTATCTCTTGAAAGGTATATCTACGTATCACATAAACAAACAGAATAATCGTCAAATAAAAATTAAGAAATAAAATAAAAAAGATTAAAAAATCCTATTTGTCATTAATCATAATTTGTATTTTGTTACTAGTGGATATTTAATGTGAACTTTAATATATGTATATTAACTGGGTTAGAATTTTGAGTCTCTATAGCAAAAATTTAATTAGGAACTGAAGAAATTAACCGATATTTTTTGTGACATAATATTTTACTATTCATCAGGACTAAGTAGAATCACATATATATAATAAAATGAATCTACGGTACACGGTATTCCTCGTATCCGTAGGGGTCCTTAACACACATACTTTACATCTCTTTAATGTAATACATAGTAATTCATTAAATAACTGCTGATTCGTCAGGGAGAACCGCGCAATTGTGAGATATATATTACACATTCATACTGAGAATAACATTTTCGAAGTACTTTTGCCGGTTAATATGTCTTGGCAGACCGCCGACAGGTGGTAATTTTTTCAATTAAACCGACCTGGCAATTTTCGCGTGGCGGTTCGCTTAAATAGTCGACATGCGAGCTTCGCATTGAGGCGAATGTTACAAGCATTTCCAGTAACAATTCTGTTTTTGAAATACTTTTTTGTATGCGAAGTCTATTTAATCGCGATTTTTTAGGTGCCTTTGAGGATGACGATGTCACTCATGTAGAGGGTGATGTCAATCCCGTGAGAGATCTCGATATCATTAGCGAAGAGTTGCGATTGAAAGACATCGAATTCTTGAATGCACATCTTGAAAAGCTCGAGAAACTTGTAATTCGCGGTAATGATAAGAAGCTGAAACCTGAATATGTGAGTAACTAATTATATTTCACACATAAGCACACACACATAAAATATAATAATTTATTTAATGAAAGAATTAGTTTTGATAAAAATATTGTTTCGATGATTTGAAGAGCGTATATACATATAGCTGTTATCGTGAAAATTTTATATTAATTGGAATTGTATTTTTGTCTTCCAAAATTATTTGAAACCGTATTACCACACATTAGAAAACATACTATGTATTTTGTATACTATAAACGATATATATTGACGTAACTCTCTCTTTCTCTGTAGATATATAGTGACATATATTAGCTGAGTTGCGCGCTTGAGCTATTGCGATAATTCCGTAGGAAAATGCAGATGTTTCGAAAATTGCTGTTCTTAACAGCGTTTATATACGCCCAATCAACCCATTTTCATCGATGCGTAAACAAAAGCTTATTAAATGCAGATATTACTTCTCACAAACAAACATGATATCGCGCAGAACTCAAATCACGCGATTTGCGTTGGATGCGCTCGTTTATCGTTTTCGTGGTATAATGGTTCATTGTCTATCTATTTCTGTCCAGTATTACATAGTATTATACAAAGTTAAATCGTGGAGAATGTTTACATATTTTATATTTTAGATATTTTAAATCTTAAAGATATATACATTTTTACTTCTTCTTCCTTGATTATTATTTTCAATTAATCTCGTTAAACTATTCTTTGTCATGAGAATCTAAAACATTTCTTCATGTTCTTCCACATTTAGTGTTTATATGTGACGCATGACCGTTTACCAAGTACAGTTGCAGCCCCCCTCGTCAGACCAACTACAAAATTACCGAGAAAATTAAGAGAATGCGGGCGAAGCAAAGAATTCCTGGAACGAGTCGATCGTTGGATTACCCTCCTTCCGCGGATTGACCCACGGCAATTACCCATCTCCCTCACGTTCTCGACTTTGCAATTTGGCAAAAGTTTTCGAGAATTTGAAGCTACCTTTTCGTCTTTTCTCTCTTTCTTTTTCTATCTTCCTCTTTCTCTTGATAGAACTAATGGGACCACTGCTTGGCTAGCCAGTACGATCCTCTAATCACGATTTGATCGCGAAATTATCCTACTCAATGGCTCGCGTTCGTGCATCTAAATGCCTGGCGAAATCGATGAATGAGAAAGTTCTTGCGAGAAATAAAGCAGTTACGCAATACCGCATTCAGAAGAACCAATAAAAATTTTTAATCTAAATTTCGCAGGAAACGCTTTTGAAGGTGAAGGGTGTTCTAGTGGATGACAAGAAACATATCAGGTTTGCTGATTGGAGTTCCAATGATGTGAGTTTAAACAATTGTATGTCTCTGTGTTTTATTATTAAAAGCTTTCTTCTTTAACTTTACTTACATTAGTTTCGTGAAATTACAGGTCGAGGTGCTCAACAAATATTTATTCCTTACTTCAAAACCAATTCTGTATTTGGCGAATATGTCAGAAAAAGATTACTTTCGCAAAAAGAACAAATGGTACGCATTTTATAAACAACGATTATAAACAAGTATTGTCACTCAGGATTATTACTTTATGAGCTACATTTTTTTGTTTTATTTAACAGGTTAATGGATATAAAACTATGGGTTGACAAGAATGATCCAGGCGCGGTGTTAATCCCTTTCAGCGCTGCCTTCGAAAACAAGAGTCTCGAGATGGACGAGGCGGAATTCGAAACATACTTAAAAGGACACAAAGTCACCAGGTTGGTATCAGCTTCCATGCTCTGTTATAATGATTATTATTCATCCTGTAAATGTTTGTGACTTATATTGCTGTGTCGCTCTCGCAAATGAGAGGGTTCAATCATACGTCGCTTCCCACCGCCCCAGTGAGATACGCATACATTGCACGGTCCAGTCGGCGAGGAAACGCCGCAAGATTGTAGGAAAAAAAGATTAGACGTAAAATCCGGCGAAAGCGTCTCCCTCGACCAAACTCGGGTTCCCACACATTTAGCTATGCACCAAGTTATCCTCTAACGGTAATAATAATGTGGTTGGGTCCAGCCAACGTCTAGACTCCGTCCCACTCTTTTCACGTGGGTTGGCTAATAAAAACCGTAGCTGTGCTTCGATGTGGCACATTATATTTTTACGAACGGCTATTCAAATTCTTGCAAAATTGCATAAAAATCCCTCCCGCCCTCGCGGGCATACTGGCATAATCGAAGAGGCGGGTGAAGCGAGAAGTAATCGGTGTCGAGGTTCGGCAATTTGATCAGTTAGTGGGTCATACATACCCCAGGGCTCCCTTGTATTGCACTTTGTGGTAGACTTGCATATTGTCTCTTTTTATTTGTCAATGTGAATTTTAATAGCGCCGTATATACAATATAATTATAAAAAAGCTATGATTATAAATCTAAACTAAATTAAACAATGTAATGTTTGATGTTAAAGAATGTAAAATTAATTTACACACACACATACACTAAAGAATATTTTAATAAACAAAAAGAAACATAAATATTAGACGAAATGAAGAGAAAAATATATAGATTTGAGATATTTCCTAGAATTTATATTTTGTTTGCCCAGATTCATAGTGTGAACGGAGTAAGAGAGAATCTATGATACCTAAATTTGCTTAATAATCGGACGATACGAATACGGAGGGACAAAATATACTGTGATTTTATTTTGAGACCGTAGATAACTGAGGCGCCGCTGGATGGAATAAGTCTCCGCTAGAGTTAGAATGATAAAATTGCGGTATTAAGTCGTTCGCCTTTATGTGTATTCTCTGAACTCTCGGACTTTCATCAGGCCCACCGCGCGTTCCACTTGCGCTAACCTGTCATTAGACGATATTTGGACCGAGACAATCTTATTCCACAATGCGGGGCACGGTCGCTTCTCATTTTGAACGCGGACGCGCTTTATTTTTTCATGATTCGAAAAATAGAAAACTTACATCGTGTGTTTGATAATAAATAAGTCATCTATTTTTTAGTAAGTAAAGACACATTGTTTACATCTTTTTTTCTTATTTCTTTTCTTTTGTTTAGTGCGCTTGACAAAATTATTGTACAAGGATACAAGGCGCTAAATTTGCAATATTTCTTCACGGCCGGACACGATGAAGTTAAGGCATGGACAATCCAAGTAAGCACAAATAATAAAGAACGTGTAATAAATATAGTGTAATAAAGATTGCACGTATTTGATTATGAAATTACATGATAAAATTTTATATTAATTCAATAAATATTTATACATAAAATATCTGTGTTTATATATATTAGTTATTTGCACATATATTAATATTAATAAGAGAAGAAATTATATTTTATCTTATTATTCTCTTTACTGCAGTAAGCTAACTTTGGTTAATAAAATATCGTTTATGTAAAGGTCACTTTAACACTATAATATAATTATATTGCTCGCGTTTTACAGAAAGGTACAAAAGCACCTCAAGCTGCTGGCAAGATACATACGGATTTCGAAAAAGGATTCATTATGGCGGAAGTGATGAAATTCGAGGATTTCAAAAACGAAGGGTCGGAAGCCGCAGTGAAGGTATTTGAAACAATTTCTCATATTGGACAAGACTATGTAACATGTTTTCTTTGCATCTATTACATACTTTCTATTTTGTCGTCAGGCTGCCGGAAAATACAGACAACAAGGGCGTGCTTATGTAGTTGAAGATGGCGATATTATTTTCTTTAAGTTCAATGCAGGTGCCGGATTAAAAGACGCGAAAAAGAAGTGATGGCACGCGTTTCTCATGTTGTTGCTCGTCCACCTATACATCAACATGATTCTGTTATCCTATTGCATGCATCATCCCCGCGTCAATTAATCCAACTTGTTTCCCGATTCTGCCTGACTTTCTCATTCATGTATACATGTCAACGCGATGATGATAGTGATAATTATTTTTCTATTCTATAGGAGTCATATAGAATTAATCGCGCTTGTGCTCATAATATATTCAAATGATATTTTATTGAAATAATATTCAATATTTTTCTTGTTCAAAATTATGCGCATAAAACAATGCACTCAATATCCACGGATATTATGATCTTTTTATAACAAATGGTAAAGAAGAAGAAGGAAATTGTATTTTCATTTTCATTACTATGTACATAATTAACAGATTTACCAAGTTGCATTTTGCACTTTTTATCTTTGATGTGAAAATGCGCGAATGAGAGAGAAAAGAAAAGGAATAGGAAGGACATGTACGTAAAACATTTTTTTGTACAATCTTCTGTATTTATTCAACAACTATTAAACTTATATAGATTGACATAAAAAAATTATAACAATCTCATAAGTTTACTACTTAGTAAACCTATGAGTCAAATTTTCATTTTCCTTTTGAATAAGACAAGTTTCGAACATATTTTTGTGAAAGCAATTACATCTTCAGATGAATTCTATTCGATTTATATTTTATTTTTTCTTTGCATACCTATTTGATATCTATAGTTTATATCATTTTTTTGAGTATATATATAATAAAATACTTTTAATAACACTTTTTCATCTTGATAAATTTAACATATATTTTAATTAAATAATTTATATTTTAATTTAACATATATTTTTTTATCTGTTATATTCTCTCATGCGACAAAGAAAAATATATTGTGATGAATTATTCATTATGAACATTATGTGCTAATATCTCTATATAGAAACAATTTTTAAAAAAATATATGAACAAATGGAAAATATAGAATTCTTTTCGTATCTTATTAAATATTATTTAGTAGTAAATATTATTAAAAATAATAAACAGAAAAATGCAAGAAAGAATAGATTCAGTATAATTAAAATGCAGAAATTTAATGTCTACTAATTTTACACATAATCACTAAGATGCATTCTATTATTAATCATTCATTATTAATGTGTTATTACAAATATATTGATATGATTATTACGTGATTTTATCATTACAAATATTAAGCATTTCACGCTATATTATGTGCATATTTTGTAGCAATTTTTGTACAAACCAAGTAATTTTAACGAAGATAGCGCGTTTAATCGATCTTATTGTATTTTTATCAAATATATAATTTGTAACGCAATAAAAAAAAGACGCAATGTCTGCACTCTATAAATAGATGCATTAAATACATTTTTTGCATAATGTGCAATTTTTTCTTTAATGACGTGCATTTTTATGTTAGAAATCTATTTAATGTGACCATAACTGTTGCGTTATTGATCTGTATTAGCGATACTCTGAGGATGTAGCACAGAACAGAACCAGTAATCGTGGATATACGAAACTTATCTCATTGTCAGTGTTACCCACTGAGAAATTTTGTAGAATTGGCTATGTAGTTCGATATCTACATTTTGAGAATATAGAGGCGTTTTGAACACACAAGTATGGATCACGCGCCAAAGAAAGAACACGTCGGTGACAATGCGATGATGGCAAAGTCAAGGTAAAGAAAAAAAAATAGCTTCTCTTTCTCACATTCGCCTCTTTAGAATTTGAACTTTACGCTCAGTTTATGTCTACTTATGATGCTCATTATAACCAAATATATGTTTCTCTTTATAGAATGTGAAAAAAATCTAATACAAATTTTTAATATGGCGGCCTGGTATCATTTCAAATAATCTTATTAACAAGATCTAAAGTGCATAGAAGTCTGTTTCATTCTGATTATACCCCTATTCTCATCCTATTTTCGCTTTCGACAAGCAGGCGGGAAGATTTATGGGACAGTTTCTAAGAATTAAGGTAAACAAATTTACTGTCTCATCATTTATTGTCACAAAAAAGCGGTCTGGTTCTGAGCAATTTTTTATAATGAGGAACGTATTTTTTTATCGGATAATATATATAAATTTATTAAAAATTAAAATAAATTAAAATTATAATATATATAACTTAGATTTTAATTATTCTATTTACAAGTGGAATAAACATTTTTTATTTTTTTCTCTTCCTTTAGCTGTACGTGTTCTTATTTTCTTTTATATAATAGAATACGAATAGAAAACTTTATAATAAAGACAATGTTTGGTTCCGACAATTTTATGTTACGGTTACAATTAACTATTTAGATCATACTGCAGTACTCAGTCGTTGTTGAAAGTTCTGTTGAGAAGTCGGGATTTTAACCATTGATAAAATTCCACTTCTTGTGCAAGAACTTTTCTTAAGGATGCATCTTTAATCCGTAATTTTAAAGTTACCGAAGTGGGCAGATTCTCTTTCGATCCTATGTATAAGAAATGGAATAATGTAATATAATAATGACGAGGAAAAAAACGATTCTATCGATATAAAATATTACAACAGATACAGCAAAAATATTTACAAATACTTACGAAATTGATTATAGATATTAATAGCACCATTAAAAAAATAAGGAAACTCGACTGCAAGCGCGTTCAGCGATTCCTCCATATAATCCAATATCCCAACAACGGGATACCATCGAATAACATTTACTTTAGCGCGTTCCAACGCCCACGTGTTATTTCGTTCCCTGGAGAGAAACAACATAATATGTACAACATAAAAATCAATAATATCTCTCTTATTTTTTTCGCAAAAATGCTTATTTTTCTTATTGTTAGTCAACGTTTAGATAAATTAACAGAGAAATGTGTACTCAAAAAAAAATAATATTACATAAAATTTATACAATGATGTTAGAAATTAATATGATATTTTAGAAATTAACAAGAATGGACTTACATGCAGCGTGGTTCTTGTCCACAAAAATGAGGTATAGCTCCGTGATAATGCATGCCTTCTTTTCCTTTCCTATATTAGAATCATATTAAGTAATATATTGTGCGTTATTTCAATATAATATTCTGGTGTCTTTAATATATTTCTCTCTCTCTCTCTCTTTTTCTCCTTAAAAATATACAACTTTTAAGTATGAAAAATTATAATTATACCATTGCCAAATTCGTGGATCTAAAGGATCTCTCACTAAAGATATAAAAGTAGGTCCTTGACGCCCAAATGCCGAAAAATTTAGAAACTTTACGTCTCCATCAAAAGTTAAGGGAATAGCTTCTTGTCTGATGATATTCATAACTTCTTCCATTAATAACTCCTGCAAAATTAAAGACATCTTATAATTATAATAGAAACAAATTGATTTGCATTTGCACTTGCAAATTTTATGAAACTAATTATAAAGAAAAACATGTGTTAATTAGTTGCAAAAGATTTATTAATAATGTCAAGATTTGAATAAATTACTAAAACTTGAAAATTTTTTCCAGAGACAGAAAGAGAGAGAGAGAGAAAGAGAGCTAACCTGTTGTACAGCTGATAAAAATTCGTAATCACTCGGTGGTAGACGTATATGTTTAAAAGCGTTATATCCTTGTAAACGTTGTAGAATCAATACTATCAATTCGGCGCCTGTACCAGGTATGCGTGTCAGCATAAGAACGTGCTTGTATTTGTATGGTATGTCACCCAATTCGGCGAGAGAAGGTGTGACATATCGATGCGTCTGTTTGAGATTTGGAATAATTGTGTTGTAAATAATTATTTTGCAACATAAACAAAAGTGAATTTTTTAACGTCTTATCTCTTACATTGTTTTAGGTGAGAGAGAAAGAGAGAGAGAGAGAGACAGAAATTATTTACAAATTGTAAATAGTGGAATATTCGATTTTATAGTGATTGAAATAATAGAAGACACTTGACGATGGGCTTTCGTTGCATCATGCTTATTGTTAGACTCGTGGAGAATGCATTCTCTCTGTGTTACGCTATTACGCAAACATAAGTCATCCCTAACACCTCCGAAAGTTGCATTCTGCTGCTTTGGAGCGCTCAATAATTAGATGTAAGATTAAATCAAGATACATTCTGTAATGTACGCCTTAATTCGGCGTGCACTTAAAAGTAAGCGTACTCGTTCTTTAAGATTGAGTAAATATTTTTTTGACGATAAATGTTTATGAAAAAATTTTTCGACAAATGCAAAATTGAACACGATGCAATCGGCCAATTGATTTTAATCGACATTATGTAATTTCACCTGGCGGCGAGCGATCCATCGATTATCGGCACGTGACCCATCGTATTTTTTGAATGAGCTACGTTTTTCGGTAACACCCGCGAGCTCAAGCAGATCCGTAGACGACCTCGCGTTCAAAGCGATAAAAACCATTGTCAGGCACATTGAAAGCAATAATAGAAAACCGCGATTCCGACGCATTTTTTATTTTTAATTAATTTAATATGTCGTCTTATTTATGTAAATTATCGAGATTGAGACTACTCGTTGCTGAGTAACTGCGAGGAGAATGTTAGTGGGTCAGACTCCGCAAACTGTGTGATCCCCACGTCTTCGCCGTAGCCTACGACCCCCACCCGATCGGTTGATTGGGTGAACCGCAACATTTCACTTTCCAACGCATACTGTATGAAACATCTTGATCGCGTATAACCTTCTAGAAATTTCTTTCTCATTCTAATATTGAATAATATTAATTATACAAGCTGAAGTGTCTTACGTGCTGCAATTTCGATCGAATAATCGAATGTCTCAAGAAAAACTCAGGAAATAACAATTATCTTTTTATTTATTTATATATCTTAAAGATATAATTGATGACGTTCTGACAATCGCATTATAAAGTTGCTTATCCGGTGATTTTTTTTTTATGCATTCATGCGACGTAGTGATCTTTATTTGATCCACGACGAAACGAAAGGAGAAATACTCCGTTCGACTGAAAATTAGTAAGAATTATTTGACATTAGGATATCGCGCGTTTGAAAGTGATCACGGACGCCGCGCCGCGAATCAAACGGCGCAGCCGGTGCCGAGACCGGCCGGTGCGGTGGCGCGGCTGTCCACGTGTTTACACGCTCTTGGCTATCTCTACTACCTACCTACGATGAGTCTATATTTGTAAACACATGAGAGCAACGAGTAAGATGGATGTATACGAGTCGCGTAAAAAAGATTGGGAGGATTTGGAAGTGTCGCGTGAAGAATTGGAGAATATAACCGAGTGCCTGAAGAAGGAGGAATTCCGCAAGCTGTTGATCGAATACGCGGAGGAGGTGACCGATCCGGATAACAAGAAAATCTACGAAAAAGAGATCACACAGCTCGAAAAGGAACGGGGCGTTGATGTGACGTTTGTTAACCCGGAGCCCGGTTACGTCATCAAGACCAGCGTGAACGGCGACAGGAAGTGTTTCCTAAACATCAGCAAGAACACAGTCGTCGGACGACCCACCAGTCAACCCTCGTACGAGCAAGGCCACCGTGGTCTACAGTGGTCCATTCCGTATACGTTGATACCACCACGCGATGACTTTGACAAGAAGAACGCGCGATGCATGGTGTTCGACGTGGTCTTTCACCCGGACACCATCTACTTGGCGTCCAAGAACGACCGATTCCGCGAGATCGTTAATAATACGGCGATGGACGGTGTGGAAAATAACTTTAAGGTTCATATTCACTTAAGGTAGTGCTACATTTTTATTTTGATAACATATTATGTTACATATGTTTTCTTTGCATTTTGCTAGGTGAAATTGGACAGGAAGAATCTCAAGTTCCCCAAGATCAACTTTAAAGGTATAACTCATCCCACAGTGATCAGAAAACCATCAAAAGACCCACCGAAGGAATCGCTGGATATAGAGCCAGAAATCTATCAGAAGTTAATGTCAGGCTACGACGAAAGTCGCGAGAAACAGTTAAGAAAGAATGAGGAAAAACCACAACGTGTCCCACCAGTTACTACTTATTACAAGAACAAAGAGCATGAACTAATGGATGAAAAATATGCTACTCCTAAATTTTTTGTAAAACACCAGTTTGATGTGGAAATGGAAGATTTTATTTTAAGTAAAGATGCAAAGATGTATGCTACAATCCCAAAAAAGTTTGTGGTTACTATAGATCTGCCTTTATTGAAAAGTGCTAGCGATGCGACACTTGATATACATGAACAGTCTCTTACCTTGAAAAGTGAGAAGCCTGCAAAGTATCTGCTAGAACTTCCATTACCATATCCTGTAGATGGGGATAATGGAAATGCTAAATTTGATGCAAAATATAAAAAATTAATTGTAACTTTACCAGTTATTCGGCCCTTGATACCAATGGATAGCACAGATAGGCCAGATAGCGGGGTTGATAGTGATCAGAGTAGTCCTCTACCAATAGCATCGAAAGATGATGAAAAGAGTTTACTCAAAATAGAGTTAGTGAAAGAGTATGAAAATGTGTGTAAAAATTTAAAATATGATAAAACAAGTGATGTAATAGATAAGTGCGAAGATACTGCCTTGCGGACTTGTAATATGACAGAAACCATTGATGCATTTATGAATCCTAATATTAAATACAATTTTCCTCCATATGCTTGTAATATTTACAATGATCAGTTAGCCATTACTGTAAATGTAAAAAATGTGAATCCCGATGAAATATGTCACAAAATTTTAGATAATAATGCAGGAATACATATCTTGCTGACATCTATAGGTGCTGGATTTTTTCCGCAATATTATTCATTATGTCTTAAGATAGGAGATGGCTGTGTTGAGCCAGAAACTCTTATAATTGAACCATGGGACAATAATGTCGTGTTTACCGTAACAGTGCAGGATATTGAGAATGTAACACAATATTTTGTTGGCGTGGACATGGAATTTATGGAAGCAAAGGATCTCCCTACTGCAGCATCATTTACAAACAAGTTTAAGGAATTAATGGTATAAAACACATTAACCATATATTTATAAAAATATAGAATAGTTATGTTATAAATAACAAATTAAATATTTTTATATAGGCTTATACGAAAGATGAACTACAAGTGGAAAGACAAATATCTGTACGGCCACAAGGCAATAGCGTTGTTATAGATATTCGTCCAAATCAGCAGGATTCTGATGATGACGAAGAGCAGGAAAACGCAAGAGTTGTAAAGCGACAACCAGAGGAAATGCATACCATCGAAAAAGCCAGATCAATTTCGGAAAGCAGCGGAGATGAATTGCCAAGCAGCAATGGCAGTGTGAGATACTCGAAAGGAATATTAAAATCACATCATACTCGTAATTTTTCGCGTTCCATGTCCGAGTCAAGTGCCGACGAAAATAGCCTTCCTGCATCGTGTACAGATTATCATTACGATTTCATACACGATGTTAATTCCGAATCGGATTGTTCCAGTTTAAAAAAGACTGTACGATTTAATGATGTAGTTTCACGACAATTATATAGGTATTATAATATAGAGAAATCAACAATTATCTTCTCAACTAGAAATTGTATTAATAAACTCGTTTGTGTAATTCAATTATAATTTTTCTTAGGTCCAATTCGAGTATTCTTGGGCAGCGAAAAAAGAATCAACGTAAATTGCGGAATAAGAAACGCGCGCATGATCGCCGAATGAGCGAAAGCGAGAATTCTGAAACCGAAGAGCGAGACAAATACAAGACACATTATAAACGTTCTTCGAACGAGGAAACTTCGGAGATTGTAAAACCTATACTTACTCGAGACAAACATTTGCAACAACAAAGAACCGCTAATATCGAAATCGTGAAATCAAAAGCGGATGATAAACATTCTTTGCATCACCGTAGCAAATCTAGCAGCGAGGAAAAACTCATCGAAAATGTTCAAGCCGACGCCTCGAATAATGCCACAAAGGATGCAGTTCAACTGGAATTTAAGAATGATCTGATATTTGACCTCGATATGTAGATTTAGATATAATACGAGGTAATTATGCATAATATTGTGATTACATATATAAAACTAGTAGTATCAGGGTTTAGTATCAAAACAACTACTTAGATGGGATTTTGTTTTTTAGTACGTTATTAGTATAGAGGGCTAAACAACTAAGAAAGCATTAGGTCGAATCAAAATTGTTAATATATCTTTAAACAATTGACTTATATTAGTAGTAAATATAGTTAAAAATAACTTAAATCAGTTTATTAAATTTTTGCTTAATATATAAAATGTATAGCAAATCTTGGAAAATGACTGTATTAATACATTAATGGCGATACGTGAGATCACGATATTTTTAATCGGGATCTTTTAAAAATTACAGCTGATTGAATTGTCACTGAATCGATTTAATGAATCGGCTGAGAAAAAATATATATTCCCTTTTTATGCCTGTTAAATATTACTGCCGCACAATATATGTGATTTTTATGCAGATAATACTTGATTAAATCAAGAATAGATAAAGTGATAAATTGCAGATATTTTATAATAGAAATCCATATAAAATTTTAATTGAGATTATATCATGTGCATTTACGCAAAAATATATTCAGTCCATATAATACCAAGTGTTTCACGTTATATGTACGAATACGCAGACGCATTGCAACAAACGCTTGTTAAAGGATTGTGACACATATATATGGTGATAAAAATGAATACGGTTCTGTTTCGACAATTGCTAATTATGTGGCGCAGACTTTTTGGTGCCTAATTATCTAAGTCATTATATTGTGAAAATCTCGAAAGTCATCTATTTAAAAAAATATTTGTAATTCAATGAAACACGTCGCAAAATTAAGATGTTTATCGATTTTATATATTATATATTAATATTTTGTAATTATATAAATGTACATAAGTTATTTCGATCAGGTAATTGAGAGAGATACGACGAAATATTTACATATCTGCGCTCTTGTTAGCACGTTCCATTCCTATATTATATACTGCGCTTAAGGATTTTTGCTCTGATGAGCAATCCACATATATAAATCAACAAGATATTTACGTCAAAACAATATATTCCTGTAATAGTATAACACAAAGATGAAATAAACAAAATGTTTTTACAGGAGAGATACTATCTCTTTGCTTTATTAAATTGATCATTAATTAAATATATTATTTAAAAAAGCATTCAAATATGATTTGAAAATCTTAGTTTAAATATCTTTTTCATCTTTGAGACATATATATATTTATTTGTAATTAATTCCGAATCTTATACACATACATAATATTGTTATTAATTTATAGATTAATTATTACATTTTTTTCTAAATTTATCGCTGCGTGAAAATATTAATCTCGGATATTAGAAGCGAATTGGTTTTTCAAATTAAGCCGATTTAGAATAAATGGGGAATACGTCGATCGTATGTCACGGTGACGATGTATTCGCAAAACATCGGGAGACGGCTGTCGGGTCGTGCAAAGCTGTGACACGACGTGAAAAGCAGAATCGTAGGGCAACGACGAGGCGAAACGTGTGTGATCGAAAAGTAGGACGCAGCCCACGCGGCGGAAACAACCGGGCCGAGCCACGGATGAGAGTTCGAGACCATCGATCCCGCTACTTGCGGGGGGTTGTAAGGTCGTTAAACTCCGCAGTATACCTATGTATCTCTTTCGCCGCATCGCCGTGTTTCTCCCGTATTATTCCTATTGATGGTCCCATCGGGAGAGAAAGAAAAAGAAAGAGAGATTTGATACGGCCACCCACGCAAATACTTAATTCCGTGCGACTGCAATCCCATCAGATTTATCGTTGTCATGATTGCGGATTTTCTTTAATTAGATAGCCCACTGCCACTCGGTGATAGCAGGGAAACGGCACAAAAAGAAAGGCAATTTTAAGGCTTAACGAACAGCCTTTGTTATATTCTACGAGATGATAATACATTCAACCATGTGACAAAAAATCGCATGCATGAATCTCTCATTAATTTGTTTTTTTTTTTATTTACAAATTATATTGCCTGTACGCGCGTGTGACAAATTATTAACTAATAATAATACTCTGCGTTATTTTCTTCAGCATATTTTGGATGATTAAACCGAGAGTCGATGAGCTTTTAGTTCTGATCGCTAAAAACCGACTATCTCTATTAGCATCCCTCTCTTCTCTTCCCGGTCGATTTTGCGATAAATCTAAAACACAATGCTTCGAAAATTGTTTATTCGAGAGAGTTCTTCTCGTCATGAATCGATGCGATGTTTACGTAACTTCTCATTTCAAACGCGACTTGAACAATAGTAAGAGTATTTGCTCGATAGTCCGAAGAGGGTAGCCAAAGAATAGATATAGCAAGAAGGGTGCAATTCCCGAATACTGATCGGAACAACACGTGATTGTGCAAAGTACACGGGAATTAAGGGTGGTAGGCCTGGCATCAGGTCGATAAGTCGTCCACCCCTTAAGGTTCAGAAAGTCGGTGGCCTGCCGGTGCCGGGGATGCGAGGGTGCACGAGAGAGGAGGACTGGGAGAGGGTAGAAGCAAGTGTACCCCGCTTGGTGCGGCGGTTACGGCCGGCACGACATCGGCAATGCGGCAGCCGACCGGCGTTTAATGTCGCTCTATCCGTCGGCCAGTCGTTGCACCTGGCACCATTCGCTGGCGAACATACATCTATACATCAGGTGGAACGGGGCGGCGATATTAAGGACGCCGCGGTCGCTCTCCGCGTAACACGGTTTCGAGATCGGGCACACACGATGGCAATATCGATGGCTCTCGCGCTAACGAAGATAAAGACCGACGGTGAACGATTGTTATACGTAGCGTTATCTGTAGCACGCTACTTCACAGGGAGGACTACGATAACGAAGAGATAGCGATAAGAACGAAACCGAAAGCATAAAAAAGCATTTAATTCTTCTTACAATTAGTGCTATATAGATATATATATATATCGTTCAAATGTGTCTTGTTTTTTTTCTTAATTTTTTTTAAATTTGTAATATTCTCATATTATCGTTCATGTAATACTTTCGTATAATAATCCGTTCCCCGGTTAATCCAGCCAGTAACTAGCGATTAATTTTGTTATCTCTCATCCGGACGGTGCCTGTGCAAACGCTGTGCATACATCTAGCTTAATTCGTTAAACTAATCTATTTTGCGCTGAAACCGCTAATTTTAATGGAATCTAAATATATATTCATTCTCTCGGAATGTAAGCGTATGCGATAATGCGTAATTGTGCATAGACAGAGATATCTCCTTTACGCTATTCGCGGAAATGCGCGCTTTGATTTATTCACTGTCACTCTGTAGACAAATGATGCGATTGTCGACGATTTTGTGTGGCCACCGCTCTATTTTCCGAGATCTCACGCAACCTTTTATATTGCTCCTTCCTTTACCTCTCTGTTTTCGCTCGTGAATAATTTATAAGATTCCAGCGTATTGATTCGTATTACTGCTTTGGCGATTTGAAATTTATGATATCTAACAGCACGGAAAAATTTTATGTTTAAAAGGGAGAATTTTCTTCCAAGAAAATATCATAGTTTCCTTAGCCAAAAAAATATTTTAATATTATTTAAGAAAATTATGAATTATTACCGATAAATTTTGTCTTCTCTTCTGTATAAACACACATATTTTACTAATAGTAATTATTAATATCAACGATATGTATAATCGAAACAAAATCATTGACCTATAAATATGGTTAGCAATTAAGCTGCGGAAACTATGGCGCGTAAAAGTATATAACAGATTTATCAGATATATTGCGAGAGAGGTGAGAATGGGCGATCGTAAAAAAGAAGACAGAGGCAACAATTAAAACTACGAGCAAGTCGTAAAAGGTGAAACTCGTTAACATTAAAGCCGTTCGTGCCAATGACTTTTTATCCATTCAATGTTAAAGCGAGCATGCTTCCTGTCCCATTTTTCATCCTCGGCTTTCTCGTTTTCATCTTCGTATCTGTCTACAGAGATGTCCTCTTGAAGTAATAGAGAATATCGATTATGTGGACCCTTAGCGCTTCGTAACCACACACTGCGAGTACGCTATACTGTTCAGATAATTCACCGACACTGACGATTTTCCCATACTTATAACGAGGATGTTCTCTTAAGTTGTATTAAGAAAAGAAAATATCCCCCTTATCCCTCCTCCCGGGTGATCAGTCATTGTCACGCGGTAAGCTTTTGTTTTAACAGGGTGATGAACTGCGCTGATCTTTGTTTGAAAGATTCAATAATCGAACTTTCTTTATATATGCAGCGCACGAGGTTGGAATAATTTATACTAGACGCGTATACATGGAGTACTGAGATTACGTAAAATTTCTCTTATCGATAAATAATATGACAACTTTATCGATGTTTATAAATATTTAGTACGCATTCTCAGAGTGTTACAATTTGTCACGCGCGTATGTTGATTTATATAAACACTTTAAAAACTACTACATCATGTATTTGTAGCAATAAAACTATATGTTTATCTAGCGAGTTATATTTTATTGTATATCTATATATATAATCATTAAAAACATTTATACCAATTAATATTGTGATTCGTTTTTGAGGATAAAAGTGATACGCTGTGAATATAAGCAGACGGATGGTTTTCCAATTTTAATTTAATTCATAATTCATTTATTACATATACGAATGCCGCGAAGCATATAATAACGAACGCGCCTAATTTGCATACATATTTCCGAGATAGATCACAAGACGTAATAGTATAACCCGGTTATTCGCGAACGGTCAATGATTTCTCGGCTACTCGGAAAATAGAAACGATTGGATTAGTTCCAGAAAATATTTTATCGTATCGAATTGGAATCGCGTTATAATGGCACTTTGTCTAGTTAAATGGAGAGCTTCGATTGGCGTTACGGAATTGACTTACGGAATTCTTCAATGGATCGTATATATTTCTGCAAAATACGTTGTGCTTGTGTACGCGACGATGAAATTCATAATTCATAATTCTATTCAATACGGACGTGGGAATTTTGCTGAGGACGCGTATGCGAATATCACGAGCCGTGTCTGAAATGCTTCTTACGTCTTAATATATCCCAATATCGTTTTGATGAATAATTTCACTACAATTTACTTTATATATTCGCAGGTTCGTGCGCTTAACAGCGCGGTGGAGCGGCCTCAATGCCGGTCAGGAAGGGCCTCCTCGCTCCACAGAATACTTTCTTGGATACCATCGCGACTCGTTTCGATGGAACCCGTAAGTTCTTTTTTTACTATTCTATTGTATGTATATTCGTACGTCAGTCCGCGAAAAAATTTAAATGGCCATTTATTAGCTCCCTCTTTTTCTCTTTTTATTAATTTTTTAATTTATTAAATGAAGGACACAATCTGTACATTTTACTGCGTAAATAATACGCGCTGTAATTTGTCTTTATAAATTGTGAGAAAGTTTTATTTGTAAAATTCTTTTTAAAAATCGAGGAACGGTAAGCGAAAGCTTCGCGAAAACGCCAACGTCGTCCCTTATTTCGTTTTAGCTTTAATCCCCATATACGAGGGGTGCGCTCCCCTATGTTCTCTTCGCATGTTGCTAGGGATACAAACAACGATATTCAGAACGCCACGTCTCGATTTCCACTTCTATTGATGTGCAAAAACGAGATATAATATAATGAGATATAAAATTTACAAGATTATTAATATATTGTGTAGTGTTACACCTTCTTATTCATAAACAGCAACGTTAAAATAGAGCGATTCAATTCATCGATGTTTACTCGCTTCATTCATTAAAGTTTCGCCCAAGTTTGCCTAAATCAATGTCCTCGTATCGCATAGTTTCCCTTAACGCCTCGATGCGTGCACCGGCATTAAACTGCGGAGACATTAACGATGCGAAACGCATAGGATGTTGATGTCGATGGGCTAAAGGTAGTGTAGCATCATGATGATAACACGTTGCCTGCATACGTTGGATGTGTGAATGAAAGTAAATTCTCTCGAAACACCAAAAATTTTTTATTTATTAGAAAACCACACAAGATTTTATATTTAAAGTTTGAACAACATAAATGGACCGCAAAATGTAATAATTTTTCCGAATTCCGAAATTTTTGTCGATAATGGTAGATGCGACAATATTGTCTGATTTGAGAAAATTAATTTTCTAAAGATTATCCATGTAGGTTTGTGTGCCGATACAACGTGACGTTCCTGCACGTGATTGATCGTACCCTCTTCACCCCAAACACTTTAATTATCTCTTGCAAATCTTCACTCGATTTCTATCCTATCCTGTGCAGCCACAAGTTAGTTAACACCTAACTTTTGGTCAAGTTGTACCGAAACCAATATATAAACTTTGGACCTACCAGCTACGAGAGGAATCCAATTATAGGAAGAAGGCGGTGGATCGCCAACATCGTCATCTTAAGCGAATTACAGTTAGAGTTGCATCTTTAATAAGTATCAGCGTCGTATTTTTTCCTCTGTTTATCGAAACACCAAAAATTTTTTATTTATTAGAAAACCACACAAGATTTTATATTTAAAGTTTGAACAACATAAATGGACCGCAAAATGTAATAATTTTTCCGAATTCCGAAATTTTTGTCGATAATGGTAGATGCGACAATATTGTCTGATTTGAGAAAATTAATTTTCTAAAGATTATCCATGTAGGTTTGTGTGCCGATACAACGTGACGTTCCTGCACGTGATTGATCGTACCCTCTTCACCCCAAACACTTTAATTATCTCTTGCAAATCTTCACTCGATTTCTATCCTATCCTGTGCAGCCACAAGTTAGTTAACACCTAACTTTTGGTCAAGTTGTACCGAAACCAATATATAAACTTTGGACCTACCAGCTACGAGAGGAATCCAATTATAGGAAGAAGGCGGTGGATCGCCAACATCGTCATCTTAAGCGAATTACAGTTAGAGTTGCATCTTTAATAAGTATCAGCGTCGTATTTTTTCCTCTGTTTATGATACCGAGAAATCCTGCTGACATTTTTACGTAAGATTGCACGTTTAATGTATTCAATTTGTCATAGCATAATTGTATCCCCTGTAATTAACGTTCTCTCCTCATCTTATCAATTTATTTATCTCTCTCTCTCTTTTATATATTCTTATATACTCTTTATTCCGTATTTTTTTTATTCTTCCTAAATTATTCCAAACATATCTAAGTTAATATATGCATTCTGACCGATTTTATTACTTTTTGGTATGAGAGATTACTCCTCTTTGCGAAACTGAAAATGTTTCTCGTCACGTTTTCTCTTTCGATTGTTATATCGACGCATTATATGCACGCTCCACGGACAACCCCTCGCTCGGCGAACACGTGATAAAACTTTGCGACCATCGACCTTGCGTTTTACCATGCGTCCGCCGGTAAAGCATATAATATTAATCCTACATCGGCGCCACGAAATGACGCGACCGAATCGATTCTATTTCAAAAGTTGCATATTTGCCTTCTAATCTTTATAAAGTACTTACACAAAAAAGCGAGATACATCTCGTATGCTGTTAAAATATGTCATTATTAATGTATCATATAACTTACGAAGCCAAAATTTTTTTATGTGCGACAAATGGCATTATAATAAAGAGACACATTTTATATACGATGTATATTCGAAATATATATTGTGTCACAATATATATATTAGGTAAAACTTTCTGCATGAAAGAAACAAAAAAAAATAGTGTATTATATTAATATTACCACACTATACACACAGACATACACATACGTATATTATGCATCCGTGCATATATCAATTGTAAAATCTGGATATTTATTATTTATCTAATTATTACGATCTATAAATATACGCGTCTTTATACGAAACATATATGTATTTTGTACTAAAAACTTTTTGTACGTAAAATTATTATTATTATTATATCCATTATGTCAGATTGTCCTGATGGTTTGACTTTAACTGTTATAATTTTTGATTTAAATGTATAGGACGCGGAATATCGCAAATATAATTTTAAATTATTGTATAAATTAAATTAATTGTGCATTATCGCATTGTCAAAGAAAGAAGCTGCCCGTGTTTTTCCGAAAATTCGATAAATATTCGATAAATTTCGGCTGACACAATTGTGACAGTTACTATTTTTATTTCACTCTATAACTTCCGATATGATATAGTTCAAATAACGGTGAAATTTTTATTTGATTGATTTTTAACACTCAATTGATGTATATGGGAAGGCATCGTAAAACGAGGGTTTTTTATTCCAACATTTCGAGGCTTCTACTGTTAAACTAGTTTTTTTTTTCTCAAATATTTTGTACTCAAAATTACAATATTTATCGCGAAAGCGTACAATTCTTTGTAAATATGCTAGTAATTTTTCTAATTTTAGTAATGGCTAGATGAGAGACGTACAAACTTCGTATAAAATATTATAAATATAATATTTACACGCGTTTATACATATGTGGTATTCATTTACTATGTACACAAATGTAACGTGAAATATAAATTTCCAATAACTAGGGCGCATCACATAATGCTCTCGACTTGAAAATCGTTTTAAAGACGCACGGGAATTCGAACATCATAAAGGAGATAGGTGCACAAACGGACGCAAAGCGCGAGCCAATATCTCGGTCGGTTTCCAGCTTCTAGTTGTATTCGGTGGTGCTCGGGTCATGTATCCGTTTCGAATTGCTATCGTAGCTGTCACAATGTTTGAACGTTTGAGCATTGCACGGCATTGAGGTACTTGCAAAGCGAATTTCGAACTATGTATTATTTTGTGTTATCAAAAAGTTTTGTTCATACCCTGCTACATGTATATGTACAACATCGCGATGATAATTTTGAAGGCTTTGTGTATCGTGTCTCTATATATTCAAAGTGTCGCTTTAACACGTTAATTGCTACGATCACTTACATTTCTCGTGACATGAGACGGGTTGTATCGACAATGTTCGATCAATATTTAACAATAGCTTGAATCACCGTTTAATCTTTTTGCATTTAAAGTACCACTGTATGTTTTTTCGAGTAATGATTTTAAGAATAAAGAGATTTTAAGAATGAAAGTAATTAGTGGAAAATTATCTAAACGGATTACATTGCAGTCTGTGTGTATGTGTGTGTGTGGAGGTGTGTGACAATATAATTCGCATGTCCCGATAATATTTTTCGCAAAATTGTGTTGACAAAATGTCATAATTTTCATGCGTAACCGCCTGATTATTTGTTATGACACATGAATGAAAATATATTTTAACGATGTAACACACATATACACCTATACACATTTATTAAAATCAGTTAAGAAATATCGCATATCAATCAAAACTAAAAACTGCAATATATTTACGTGTGTGCAAAGTTCGTCAAATACTGCTCTTACAAAGTTACGATGTAATTAATTTTTCAACAAAAACTTTACGTTAACAATAAGCTTAATTTATTGTACACGCGTATATTACATTATATCAGCGGTTCGCTGATACAATGTACAACTTTTTTGTGTTGGCGACAATACACTTTTCGATAGATAGGAAGCGCATAAATTAATCTAGGTATCGATCCAAACGACGAAGATAATGAGATGATTACTAAATATGGATAACTTGTATCTTATCGTAAATAATGACGGGCACTGACGCGTGCAAAAAGATAACGATAGAACGATGTACATATCTATCTGCGGTTTTTCTATTGATTGCAATAATAAATAGTTTATTGAAACAATCACGAAAATTATTTGAGATGTAACAACGAAAGAAATCAATCAATCGAATTAATAGAATATAATTTAATTCTAGAAATAATCATTTATATTTTTATGATAAATGATGATTTTAACAAATTCAACAAGATTATTTTTATCATTTGATTATTAAAAAACAAGGTATATAAACAAGATGTTAAATAATTTTTTAATTCATTTATGCTCAAACATTATAACTTTTTATATAATTTTTATAACACAAATATGCATTACTGAGCGTAATTGTAGATATTGAAATTACAAATATAGAACATTCGTATTCAGTCGTCGACAGAAAAAAAATTGGATTAAAATGGGGACACCAGAGATATGGCAAACGAATCGGAGAGTTCTATTTCCCAGAAAAAGAATCCTACAAAATAATGTTACTAAGGGACAAAGTTGGTCACACGGGATTCCATAGGCTTTAGATCTCGTGTTTCCCAAGGTTAATCTCTTGATATCCTCGCCAAGAAGACATTGTGATGCAAAGGGTGAGCTATTATTCCTTGAGGAAAAAAGCGAGGGTATCGAATGAAGAGGTATAGATTGGATGGAAGCTATCTTCTATTTGAAGGATGAAAACAGTTTCGATTCTCGGTTAATAAAAAATATTAATTCTCTATTCTTTTGTCTATCATAAGTTTCGCATTTACGAACGATATTTATAACATATTGTTAACAATAGAAAATATTGGAGATCTTTTATAATTTTTAATGCATAATGAATAGAGAGAAAAATTAAATACATTATATAACATATTAATATTTATATAAAATTATTAAATACTATATTTTTTAGTTTAACATGTTATTAAGCAACAATAATATATGCTAGTAAACTGTAATATTAATAATTTTAACAATTAGTATTAGAAACAATCTAAAATCTTATATTATCCAGTAGAATATCTCTTGAAACGATTATCTTTTTCACTTTGTTCCTTTAAATAGAATCCGTCTTCATTGTATAGTTAAGATTTACGTTGAGATTATATGCAAACATGACTCAAATTTCACTTGATAACAAAATCTCGGATTTTTCTATTTAAAGATTTGCGACGATGCGATGGAAAATGAAAATCGATTTAAACCGCGATACGAAGATAATATTTGACGTGTCTTTTCTCTCCCTCGTATTTGAAATTTTGTGAAGGTAAGATTAAAACCGACGATTCATTGTTCCCCTAGCAGAGATTACCAAGCACTCATAATAAACTCGCGTGAATAATAAATCTTTCTTCCGCCGTTGAAATTACCTTGATAAGCGGAAAATTTGTGCGACAACATCTCTCTTGTATAATCAAGATTTTATCTTCTTGCGGGAAAAATATATTTACCCACATATAACATTTTGTTTAATATTTTAAAAATTGACAGCTAAGACGAATAATATATATTAATATGAAGAATGTATGAAGAAAATATCCCAAACTCAAAAAACTGATATAAATAATTATCTAAATGCTTAATTAAAATTATGATGTTTGACGTGATATTTCTTTACTTATATATGAATCACGAATTGTACGAAATGTAATCATGAATAAAATGTCTAAATAAAAAACGCATTGTTATCGTCGTCTTTTAATTAAATTTGCGGTATATAAATTATATCTCTCTCTTTCTCTTTCTAACTAATTGTAAGAGTTTGGTAATAAATTGTCAAATGTACTTCAGAGACAGCGAGGATGACATTGTTCCGTTTTCGAATTAGTTTGCACTTCACAAACTGCAAACGTGCATCTATGTCACTTACCATCTACGTCTGTAACGTGAATTGTGCATCCACTGTTACATCCCGGAAATAGAAGGATGGAAAACAATAGGGGGATAGTGCTCCTTGGATAGGTCAATAACCGTTCGCGTAATATCGAGAAGGGACTATATGCATATAATATCGACCCGCGGTCTACGCTGATAATGTATTTTAACCTCGCAAGAATATCTCGCGCAAGACTACTTCGTAAACTCGAAAATGAATATTGGTCTAAGTTAGATTGCTTCATAGCAGAAGTTTCGAACGAACTTCATATTTTGGGTACAACAACTAATGACACTATTGTCACCAAGCGGTCACACTTACACATTGTCAATACTTTAAGTTTTAAATATAATAAGTACGTACCTATTTGAGCGTCGCCAATCTCTCCCCCATCTCTTTATGACAGCACAAATTTCCAAGTTTGTACTTTGAATTGTTTTTTTTTTTGACGGGAACGTCTTTTATGCAAATTCAAGGAGAAAGATATTTTATCACTGGTTATAAAACTATCCTTTTAAATTTTATCCTTATTGTTAATTGAACTTATTTATAACTAAATCCGCAAAACGTGACGAGGCTTACATACACAAGGTCATCTACTATCTATACTTTGTATTACTTCTGTGATTCATGATAATCATAATATTATTCCGATTAAATATTGAAATGCAACTGAAACTGGCACTATGTAAAGTAATTATTTATTTAATATTTTTAATTGAATATCACGTATATTTAAATCTATGGATATTCTATGAGCTAAAGACAATATGGAAAACGTGACTGACTCCAACAAATAATAGCAACGAACGTATCGCGTGTTATTCTCTATTTTTATGCTAATTCACCGCTAATTATCTTAAAATCATTGTTGTAATTCAATTTGCATGTAAATTTGCTCTTTATGTTAATAATAATTTGTTCTTTGTCTTCATTTTATTAAATGATTTAATTTGACGCTTTACTTTATAATTTTATAATTTATAATGAATTGTGTATTTATCTTTAAAATTTTTTACAAAAGGTTTTTTTTCACATTACAATAGGCGTTTATAAATTCTAATAAATAATTATTACAAGAGTGTCACAAAATTGACGATTAAAGTGTATAGCTGATACATATTTTTTTATCAATCCAATCTGCAAAATTCGAGATTTTGCAAATATACTGAATTGATGGAGTAATGAAAGGGATAATCATACGTATGCAATTTGAAATAAATTGGAATTTCTGTTTGTAAAATATTCCACTTTATTATTATAAACGTGAAATCGACAACTCTTCAAACTTCAGATTATTTAAACATTAGTTATTAAAGTTTTAAATAATCAATTATTTGTTCTGAAAAATGAAAAAAGCTTACTATTGCTTTGCGTGTTTAATACATCCATTTAGAAATACTAAAAAATTTTATTACGTGGAAAAATCGTATTTGAGTCCTACACGATTCCTCTAAAAATTGTTAATCGAGACCAATTGATAATGCGCGAATGAAAAGCTTCCTCTCGTGAAAAACGATTTGATCGATGCTCTGATACGGAGTAATTAATTATTTCATTTGATGAGCCGTTCTAACTATAACTTACGCAATTTACTCAGAGTTCAAAAGTCCCCCCTTGGGATCTCCGTAATTATTTGGTGTTACTTCTGAAACGATCGGGCTTCAGGGAAACTGCACGCAGACTTTTCCCCGAGCGACTCGTTTGTCCGTAGCACTAATAATCGTTTAGAAGTTTGCAATGGATTTACCATTTACCCAACTTTCAGATTAACATTTCTAATTTTATATTTAAGAAAGAGACAATTCAAATTGTTATGTAAACTAAAAGTTTTATAAAATGATAAAAAATGCATACATATACATAAGTATAAAACCAAAATGCTGATGACACACCAGAAAAAAAATGTATGATGCAAACGTTGCATAGCTGATTATCCAGCTCATTGAACGGTAGCTTTGTCAATGACTCTGACGTCATCGTAATCTCTAAGGGTAAAAGCGATGCTATTTTTTAATATTGGATTTGGCCTTGAAATTCTTTCCTGTTTCCATCATCTTGTGCCGTGCCAAATCACGCCTCCTATTTACGATAAAAAAGTTCATCTTAAATATCAAGATACACGAATATGTGTTTTACGATATTTTATTTATCACGATATTTATTACATACTGGATCTTTTGCCACGTATATTGCGCTTGCTTTGAACATTACATATCTTATGTATTGACGTGAGTCTACACTGAAAATAAACATATTCGCATAACTCGCGAGAGATACAATTTAATTAATATAAATTAATACGCGATGACCGAAAACACGATATAGTTTTGTAAACATGCCCATTTTTCCAAGAGTAAAATTTATTAGTAAAACGAGTTCGTGTCGCACGAATGTGGTAATTGCTACGCCTACGGATGTCAAGACTCAAGAGACCCCAGAATTAACTTTTGCAGGATGACGCGATATATATTCTCCCAAATAAGGCGTCAGTTATACACATTTTTTTTTCCTTTTTGGATTGCAGTTAATGCACACGAGACTTTTCGAACATGCATGAAATATTATTCTTACTAATGCAGGATGCGCATTTTGTATTACACATTTTTGTCGCGCACGAGATTCTGATCCGATTGTAAAAATAAGTCCGGAAACGGTGCCGCATCGTTTGATGTGATTATGACTATCCCTCATGCGATGCGGAAAATGGAAATTAGCACGAATGATGGGGGAAGTTGAATCGTAAAGGGTTAACGACTAAAAATACATCTCTAGGGGAAAACTACGTCCTTTCCTTTGGGGCGCGTTTGATGAAAATGTCAGATTTTTAGGTACACTTTCGCATCGTATAAGCCCTATACGCATGCATTTATACAGCGTATAAGTAAATATATTTCGCAACAGGATTAAGAGAGGATATATGATGCAAAAAAAAAGAATCCAAAATCGAGAATAAAAAACACTTTGGCACGTTATGCAACATATTTTTTCAATATACGTTGTAATGTTGAAAAGAATTTTATATTATATTAAGGGGATTCTATTCAATAAACTAAATGATGATACAAATGTTAAACCATTTCAATATTTTTTTCCATGTCATGAACGAATCATATATTTTCGTTAACGCAATTATAACAATCTATACAATATTGGCGAATAACTTGTATAAGTCTTAAAGCGCACTTTTAATCATATAATTACGATTAATTGCATTCTTTTCTGTTCGCAGACAGCAACTTTGTATTGGGAAATGCGCAGGTTCCGTCGATCTATCCGATTGTCTATTGCTCCGATGGATTCTGCGAGCTGACAGGATTTGCACGAGCGCAAATCATGCAGAAGGGTTGCGCTTGCAAGTTTCTCTACGGGCCGGAAACGAAGGAGGAAGAAAAGGCCATGATCGACAAGAGCCTCGAGAGCAAGACAGAATTGAAAATGGAAGTGGTCTTCTACAAGAAGAACGGTGAGTTTAAGATACATTCCAATCTTCTGGGATGTGAGAGAAGCTATTATTGATAAATGAAGAACATATTATTAACGGGAAAAACGTTCTAATATTATACAGTTTTATATAATATGGATAAAGAATGTAATAATTAGCGGCAAAGGATGCAAAATCTTTAATAATCATACTCTGTATCCAAAGGATATTTCGAACGCGATGAAGGAACATATCGATTTGGGTGATATTAAAGAATCCGATTTTTAAAGAAAACTCGTGATGCAAAACTAAATGAAGTAATCTCGTGTCTGAGCGCCACTGGCACTTTTTACTTTTTTCTCGCGTAACGAGGAAAATCAGTCTACGTTAAAATTAACCGGAATGAGCTTTCCGCAATGTATTTTGTGTCATTACTTTGACCTTATTTATTTCACCAATGATGACTATTAACTAAATTAATTGTAGATTCACGCGAATTTTCGATATTATGCATTACGAAAAGTATGCGTACATTCACGATAATTTTTTTTTTTTTTTAAAGAAAGAGAAAAACACTTTATTATTCTGAACTACCGTTTCTAACTAATTACACGTGTTACATCTACAAAATAAAATAAAAGTAATAGTAAATAAAAGTAATAGTAAATAAAAGTAATAGTAAAGAAAAGCTACAAATGTTTATCGACGAAAACCTAGTTTCCAACGAGAAAAGAATGTCTCACAAATAAAGAATCAAAAGGAATGTGACGGCAATAGGAATCCTCTTCTATATACGACGACATTCCTATTACAGACCACATCGATGCTCACAACATTCGTAATAATTCTATTTGACCGAAAAATATTTAATTAAATGTTTTTTTCCATCGGGTAATTACTGTTTTATATAAAAAAAAATTAATAAAAACAGAAATATGTTGAATATAATAAATATTTCTTTTTTTCGCTTTTTGTAACGCGTTTCACGATTCTTTAAAAGAAAAATATCTGGCTTTAAAAAATTGAATTGACGTAATTCATGAATTTTTTGTGCTGTGTTCCTTTTGTGCAACTCGCGTGTGTTACATTGCACAGTATAGGATACAAATATCAAAACTAATTATCGAAAAGGCTCTCAGTAGCGAGTAATTCATCGTTTCGCATCCCTACGGACGTCTGCTCTAAAATTGATGGTCGACGAGATGATATCATCTCGATTTCGCTTGCTTTCGGTAAACGGTCCCTCTCGGCTTGCAGGAAGTCCATTCGATTGCCTACTCGACATTGTTCCGATAAAAAACGAGAAGGGCGACGTCGTTCTGTTCCTGGCCTCGCACAAAGACATCACGCACACGAAGAATCTTCAGCTCTGTGAGTTGCACGATAGTGGTGAGTTCTAACCATGCTTCGCTGCTAAATAAATCGCAAGTGGATCGATTTTAATGAGGAATGATGCGTTCTCACGATGCGTCGTGCCAAAATATACGACTCGAATTTGCGTCGCAGGACGGGTAGGAATTTGGCCCTTTACGTCTTTCTCTCACCCGTTTTAATGATTCACATTTCGAGCACCGCGATCACGCAACACGCTGCACGAATTGCTATTGCAAGATCGAAGTTTGTGACCGAACATCAGTCAATGATTGGATTGATACACTGAAAAATTCATATTCATTCTTAATCTCACCCTCGTCAAGAGAGTTTTTGTTCCATTGGATTATATCACATTGTCATTAACATGATTGCATTCGAATTGGATTTTTATAAATCAATCGCAAAATTAATTAGATTGTATTAATCGGTAACAAACTTCTCGATATCCACAGAACACAGAGCAATTTACCAATATAAAAATATTATTATACAAATGTTTTATTTATTTTTATTATATATGTTATATGTCGCTTTTTATAAATTTATATATTGAATTTCTCTTGCGCAATGTCACATAGTTACAAGCGTTTTAAGATAACAAAGATCCTGAAAAGGAGATTGTTTTCATCGAGAAACGCTTCCTTAAAATATATTTACATACATTTCTTTTAATTACAATTTTTTTGCAAGATTTTTGTCTTTTAGAACGCTTTGACGTGATTATATACATATTCTCTGCTTCAATAATAGCACAATTTACAATTCCAGACTCGAATGGCAATATCGACCCTGAGGCACCGCCTTCCAATTATGGTAGGAGAAGAAGTCGCGCCGTCCTTTATCAACTGTCAGGTCATTATAAGCAGGACAATAAGCACAAAATTAAGCTAAACAATGTACGTTTATATATCTTTTTTCAAAATTACTACTGCTAGTTTTTTTGCTTTTACAAACAAAAAAGTTCAAATTTCAATGAACGATATACATATGTTTTAATTCATAATGTAATGAGAGTTTTATTACTAGTAATAGCTGTTTGTTATATTTTGCAAGTTAATAATTATTATGTTTACTCACGAATTGAGAGAAAGATTGCTATTATATATTGTATATATAAAAGCTTTTCGATAAATACCAGTATGATAAACTTGTATTTTTCAAAAAATTAGCATTCACCGTAATATTACTTTATTATAAATGTTGGTTTGCATTTAAAATTAAATAATATAAATAAAATTTTTTTGAAAGAGTAAAATAAAATAATTAAATAAATTTTTTTAAAAGAGTGAAATGAGATATAATAAAAATAGTATTGGAATCTAATAGTATTCGCGTATAAAGCCGCGAGAGATTTGATATAATTGAAAATGTTAGAAACTCTTTCTTTTACATTGCATTACGTTATTTTAGACGCTTCTACATTCAACCGAACCGCCTTTACCAGAATACAAAACGTCGGCGATCAAAAAGTCGCAATTTATTCTTAGTCATTACGGTGGTTTCAAATCCTGCTGGGACTGGCTGATCCTCATCGCGACCTTTTACGTGGCAATAATCGTTCCCTATAATGCGAGCTTCATCAACACCGATAGGCCTACCATGGTCAGTGACGTCGTCGTCGAAGCACTCTTCATTATCGGTGAGTATCCCCTACCTCTGATTTTCGATCCTTTCGTGTCCTTTAGACCTCTCTTTATTCCTTCGTCCTATCGAGACTCTCGCTTAAATCCTTTCAAACTCGTTTTGCCAGATAAACGAATTTGCTATTTAAAAAAGATCTTGAAGCTTTTATTCCGATACGCTGATAAAATTGTAAGTCAGTTATTAAGAAATTAATTAGTTTTCCACTTCCAATACCTTTCTCGATTTAACATCGATATATTACGCGAATACACATATACGTATACATATAATATATATATATGCATTATGTAAAATTATAATTGAATAAGAGAAGAAAAACATATATGCCAAATAAATAAACAAATCAAAATCTCTAATATGGTTATCTCACAATAGACATCGATTGCTCTCGTTATTCCGAAATGTTTCCGGAAAGGAAACGAAGAAAAAGTGTTTCTCTCATTCAATTGGCAACACGTGGAACTCGTTAAGCCAAGAGAAGCGATCAGCCACCCTCTTTTTGCTCTATCTTGCGTTATAACTGTAGTGGCTTTCGATTCAATTGTCACGGCAGCCTCTCTCCGACGGGAACATACTGGAAATACATATCTTTGTAACAATTGATTTACATCGCGATATTTGTGAGATACAATTATGATGTTGTTTCCTTTGCCTCACCGACAAACGAAACTCTTCGAATATACTTCCCGTAAAATCCTTTCAATTAGATGACGATATCTGCTAAAGTGATCTAGGTACCGAGAAAGCAACTCACGCGTTTAAGCGTAAATTCAAATCAATTAAGTGTGAACAAGATTGCTCTTACATCTCGATCATATTTAAAAGAAAGTTAACGAAATATGTCAATTAAAAGAAAATTTAATGATGATGAAAAGGAAAGAAGTGCCTTTGCCTTTGGAAAATTGTTTGACAAAATGATATTATATTGCCGATCCTTTGATTACATCTTTTTAATTGTCCGCGATATTGCACTAGTCTGCAGGTTAATTCTGGAATGTTGATGTAAGCTTTTCCGCAATATTAATCGCGGGTACTATATATATGTTGTAAACTTCAATAAATAAATAACACAAGCATTTTCAATATACTCTCTCGCCAGTCCGGTATCGATTTTTAACTGTCAAATAAAATTGCGCTGTCGTAAAATTAAACGAGATAGAAAATTCGCATTAAAAAATTGCCCACATTATAAATCGAAATAAACTTTTTGTATTTATTTTCAATCTGCGCTACAAAATATTTTTAATGGCGGATTTTCCATAACAAGTTTCAGCATATTAGAACTAATATAGAGTCAATGGATAGCGATATTTCGCGTATCGGCGTATAATATGTAAAATATCAATGGTGTGCAACTTTTAAACGAAGTTACTTTGGATAAGTGGACGTGGAACGCAAATTTCGCGGCTAAAATCCAATTTACAAACGGGATTAAAAGGTATTCATCGCACAAAGCCGAAGTTTCGTTCAGCTGCTTAATACGTTTGCGCGAGCAGAAACTCGGCAGGACAACAAGCAAGAGAGAAAGTCAGTTTCTCCTCTTCGGTTGAGATTTAGTTAGAGGGTGTATAGGCACAGATTCCGCATTTACATCTGCTTGCAATTATTGTCACGATTATTGTCACGCCTCGTCGGAATCAATATTTACTGTTCGATGAAAAAGTGTTTTATTGACAATTTTTTATAAACAGATATTTAGTGATACTCTAGGTAAACGAAGAGTCTCATCGAAACGTCATAATTGAAATTTGTTCAGCGACGTTTCAAATTTGTTGTAATTAAAATTATCAAAATGTAAAAGATTTAATTATAAAATGTTTAAACTAAAATCTTATTTAATAGATCTGTCTCGTTTGTCTCTTCTGTATTAATAATTTTCGACATCTCGCATGAATTTATACCATATTCGAATCATAGTACGATATCGGGCATTGTCTCGCGCTTCTGAAAGATTTCGATCATTTCGAAAGATTATATTCATCGAATGTATACTCCATTATTCTTCCACAGATATCCTTTTGAACTTCAGAACAACGTACGTGAGTAGAAAGGGCGAAGTCGTCAGCAATAGCAAAAGCATCGCCGTGAACTACGTGAAAGGCTGGTTCTTTGTTGATCTCGTAGCAGCATTGCCGTTTGATTTTCTCTACGCTTCAGACGTTTACACCAGCGAGGTTGGTATTTTCTCATCCGCTTACAGAGAGATTTATGAGCTAGCCCATTAACTTCTTGCGGAAAGTTGACTTTAACAGAGTAAGTTCTTCTGTAAAATTTAATTTGCAATCTTCTTCGAGAGATTAGTTCTAAAACTTTATAACGCTTCTCAATCATTAATTTAATCTGCGTTTTAATAATAACAGAAGCATGAAGAAATCTAAAATCTAATACATAAAGCAGGAGTGAGGAGGGGGGGGGGGAGGCGGCTTAGTATGTATTATACGTATTCTGATATCAGTTTTGTGGTAATTACCAATTTCAAATTTCCGCTAGGCATGGACCCAACGAAGAGAGGCTGAGCTAATTAATTTTGCCCATGCGTAATAGAAAATCGATACCTTATATATATCAGGATTAATTATCAGATCTTTAATTGATATTTTGCGTGTGTGTTTGTATCAGAATTAATTATTAGATGTTAATAAAATTATTTCTAATATGAGATATCGACTATATGTTACACATTTTTTCTTTATCGATTTTTGTTACAGGACACAGCACACAGTAATATTCATTTAGTGAAGCTCACAAGATTACTGAGACTCGCGCGTCTATTACAAAAGATGGATAGATATTCGCAATATAGCGCGGTAATATTAACGATGCTTATGCTTTTTTTCATTCTGGTCGCGCATTGGTTAGCTTGTATCTGGTATGTCATCGCCGAGAAGGAGAGATTGCGAAACGATAAAGATTGGGACCTAGGTGAGTTTTCTAAAAAACAATTTTAATATATTACTTAAAATAATCGCAAAATTGTATATATATATATGTGTCTGTGTGTGTGTGTGTGTGTGTGTGTGTGTGTATATATACGCGGCATTTATACGGAGAGCCATATAATTTTTACGAGAAATGTGCAACACGCTGTACATGAAAGTAATTAGATTGCCTTCGAGGGCAAGCACGCGCCTTATATATCGAAACAATAATCTGAAAGTGGCCTTTGTGATCTATAGGAATTGTACCACAATATCTACTACTATCTTGAGAAAGTATATCTATACATATATGGATTTGTAACCATAGAAATGATTATATCGATGCGAAAGCTCATGCATAAAATTTGTAGAGGGATTGTTTCTCGATATTTGTTGAGACAACTTTCTACGGAAGAATTACGTCTCATAACAAAAATAGGAATAGGAAAATATACATTCTTAAAAAAAATGACAAACTTTAATTTTGTATCTTATAAAAATAAATATATAATAGAAGATTATACGAATTGATATTTATACATTCAAATAATGTTTTTATCAAATTATATAAAAATATGTTAGTTAGTATTTTATAAATGGTATAGAGATATGACTTTTCAAAAATCGTATATTAGAGATTAAACTAAAACATCGAAATTGTCATTATTATAATTATAATCTGTTCTAGGCTGGATACATACTTTAGCTGAGAGGTTGAAAATATCTGTACAAAACGTTACGCATACAGAGAGCTATATAACGGCATTATATTTCACTTGTAGTAGTTTAACTTCCGTAGGGTTCGGAAATGTTTCGGCTAATACATTCTCGGAAAAATTCTTTTCTATTTGCACAATGCTGATTGGTGGTAAGTCTTATTTTATTAATATAATGAACTCATCTAATATCGTTAATATTGAAATTAACACGTTATTTATACATATAATGTATTGATGCATCGATGACAAAGTATTGCAAATTTTACCATACTCTAATTAATTAAAAATTGATTAAAATTGATCTGTATTCTCGGTATCTGGATGGCACATGTACATATATGTAGATCGCTTGATTTTATGAACATTAAATATATTTAATTACATTGCGTACGATTTGTGTTGCAGCTCTAATGCATGCCGTGGTATTCGGTAATGTTACTGCAATCATTCAAAGAATGTACTCTAGAAGATCCCTATATCAAACAAAGTTACGAGATCTTAAAGACTTTCTAATCTTACATCAGATCCCGGAAGAGCTCAAACAGCGAATGCAGGATTACTTTCAGACCATATGGTCGCTAAATCACGGTATTGATATACACGAGGTAAAAATCTGCTCTTTTTTGGTCAGATCTTTTCATTCAATTAAAATGTTATAATATATATCGAAATAAATTTTAAGGAGTTATATTATTATATACTACCATAAAAGGTAATTTAAAATTTGTTACGGTAATTGCTTATTATATCATAAAACAAAATAACTCTTGTGCAGACCCTTAAACAATTTCCCGAGGAGTTGCGAGGAGATGTTTCGATGCATCTTCATCGTGAGATTTTAAGTTTACCGATATTCGAAACCGCCGCTCAAGGATGTTTAAAGCTACTCTCGCTCCATATTAGAAACAACTTTTGCGCCCCCGGCGAATTTCTCATCCACAAAGGCGATGCACTTTCGTACATCTATTATCTGTGTAACGGATCCATGGAGGTTGTGCAAAATGACATGGTTGTCGCAATTTTAGGTAAATTCTAGTGAGCATAAATCAATATACCGCGTTTAATAATTATAATTAATTTGTTATAATTAATTCTTCTCATAGTTAATAGTCGTCGCTTTACCGTCAAATAATTGATAATGCTTGAATTTGACAAATTTTATATTACAATATAATTTCAAAATCAAATTAAGATTTTTTAAATCAGTTCGCAATTTGATGCATATAATTATTTTGCGAACAGATTTTATCGATATTCTTTTTTTTTTTTTTTTTAAGGAAAGGGCGATTTGGTGGGTTGCGATATAAACGTTCATCTGCAATACGGAAATAACGGCGGAGGCACGACCGGAACTGGTTCAGTTGACGTTGTAGTAAAATCCAGCTGCGACGTCAAAGCGCTAACATATTGTGATCTAAAGTCTATACACATGCAAGGATTAGTCGACGTTCTCCGAATGTACCCCGAATATCAGTCGGAGTTTGCGCATGATATACAACACGATCTAACATATAATTTGCGCGAAGGATACGAGGCAGAGGTAATTAGCTCTATGTACTTTCATAAAAAAATAGAAAATTGCTAAAGGCATCAAATATTACTATCAGTTACTAAAAGCGGAGAAAATTAGTATATTTAGAGAAAAACGGTTTTTTATGATATATTTAAACATTGGAGAAAATATTCTTTATTTTCTTCTTTCGATTTTATGTAGGAGAAAAAAAATTGTGCCTATATTGAATAAGTGGACAAATGTGTTTTGATATTGATATATTTGAAAGAGTATGTACTGTATATGTGTGTGTGTTGTTGTTGTAAATTCTATCTAACAATTGAATTTACCAGTCATGTTGTCGTCGGAATTTTAGCAGGAATCCGATGTGAACGGCCCGTCATTGACACTGCCCTCCATCAGCGAGGATGACGAGAATGTAGTCGAGGAAGGTGAAACCTCCCCTTTATCACCACCGAACAAATCACCACTTCACACATCTTCGAGTCCGCGACATGCCAAGTTCAGGTAAGCCTATATCTAAATTAAGGAAAGTATTGTCAAGATCGTATATATATAGAGAGAGTTTTCTTATAAAATATGAAAAAGCTAAAAAAGGAAAAGTACGTTAAGTAAACGACAGCAGGAGGTAAAAAACTTCAATGTCGTAAAAAACATGAAATAATGGATAGACGTGAGAGTGCAGGAAAAAAGTTAATCTAGCAATTTCCGAACTTTTTTTGTTTATTTTCCCCTTCTTCCGGCTAAACATCTTTTTTGCATCAATCTACTTTTTTAAGAAAGGAGTAATATAGCTAAAATATAAAAGAATATATATTAAATCCTTTTTTTTCTTGGTGGGTTGCGATATAAACGTTCATCTGCAATACGGAAATAACGGCGGAGGCACGACCGGAACTGGTTCAGTTGACGTTGTAGTAAAATCCAGCTGCGACGTCAAAGCGCTAACATATTGTGATCTAAAGTCTATACACATGCAAGGATTAGTCGACGTTCTCCGAATGTACCCCGAATATCAGTCGGAGTTTGCGCATGATATACAACACGATCTAACATATAATTTGCGCGAAGGATACGAGGCAGAGGTAATTAGCTCTATGTACTTTCATAAAAAAATAGAAAATTGCTAAAGGCATCAAATATTACTATCAGTTACTAAAAGCGGAGAAAATTAGTATATTTAGAGAAAAACGGTTTTTTATGATATATTTAAACATTGGAGAAAATATTCTTTATTTTCTTCTTTCGATTTTATGTAGGAGAAAAAAAATTGTGCCTATATTGAATAAGTGGACAAATGTGTTTTGATATTGATATATTTGAAAGAGTATGTACTGTATATGTGTGTGTGTTGTTGTTGTAAATTCTATCTAACAATTGAATTTACCAGTCATGTTGTCGTCGGAATTTTAGCAGGAATCCGATGTGAACGGCCCGTCATTGACACTGCCCTCCATCAGCGAGGATGACGAGAATGTAGTCGAGGAAGGTGAAACCTCCCCTTTATCACCACCGAACAAATCACCACTTCACACATCTTCGAGTCCGCGACATGCCAAGTTCAGGTAAGCCTATATCTAAATTAAGGAAAGTATTGTCAAGATCGTATATATATAGAGAGAGTTTTCTTATAAAATATGAAAAAGCTAAAAAAGGAAAAGTACGTTAAGTAAACGACAGCAGGAGGTAAAAAACTTCAATGTCGTAAAAAACTTGAAATAATGGATAGACGTGAGAGTGCAGGAAAAAAGTTAATCTAGCAATTTCCGAACTTTTTTTGTTTATTTTCCCCTTCTTCCGGCTAAACATCTTTTTTGCATCAATCTACTTTTTTAAGAAAGGAGTAATATAGCTAAAATATAAAAGAATATATATTAAATCCTTTTTTTTCCTTTACATATTGTAGAATATATATGTAATATATTTCAAAAATTACCCCTTTTATGTTCTATTCTGAAATATTCTGAATAAGTAGCATAAGTAGCAATAGCAAGATAAAAACGAGATATAAGGAAAAAACATCTCGAATTGCATGACGCTTTCGCAATTTATCTATATCCTTTTCGAAGAAAAAGACCCTCAGTTATAGGATAACACGATTTTCCGCTCGGACAACTGTGAAATATCCCAAAGTCGCGTCCTCTCAATCCGGCTTTTCAGATACCGGTGGTATCGATAAATTGTAGCAGAATGTAATCCACTTTGAAAATTCCTTACTTTTGGAATTCTCGCACCGTGATTTCGATGCCATCTCGAACGCGCTCTCAATATTTCGAATCTGATATTCGCACAATGAACAAAATTAATTGTGTTTGGTATATCAGGGAGGATTATAGGGATGGAAGACGAGCGGGGAGGGGTGTCCTGGTACGAGGAGGAAGGACAGCGCAGGTGATTGCACAGGAATCTATGGAGGAGCACATTCGAGGATCGGTCGAGAGATTAGATAATCAGTTTTCCACGTTGCATCAAGACGTTGCGACGCTCAGTTGCGAGGTATTTTATACACAGATACCTTATAACGTTATATACATTACTTTAATCCGACGCAAATGCATTACGGCGAATGTGAAATTGTTTTACTCAACAACTACCGACACTTCTCAATCTCTTCCGAGACTTCCTGACTTTGAATAAATAAATTAATTAAAAGTAATTGAGACTCGGAAAAATTTATTTGATAGAATCGAATTTCTAGTTCAATTCCACTTGAATTAATTCAACTTCTCCGGATTATACGATTCAACAAAACAACTTCAAGAAAAAGAATAATCTTTCTTTAATACTCAACATGATCTTGAACTTTGAAATGCTCTCACTATTTTTGGAAAATTTAAAGTTAAAATTGTATTTAAAAAAGTTATTTTAACGTCATTTATTATACTATAAGGGACGTGCTAGAAAACTTTTATCGTTTCTCTCCAAAACTAAATATATTATTAATACTTTTAAGCCTCAAAAGAAACTTATTACAAAGATTAAAATTGCTCTCTTTTTGAGGAAAAAGTGATTTCTTATATGAAACTATATTATCCAAGAGAGAAAGAGAAAAAAAAGAGGAAGAGAGAGAGAGAGAGAGAAAAGGACTCATCAGTCGCGAGATTAAAGATGCGCATTGTGGATAATTTATTTGATAGAATCGAATTTCTAGTTCAATTCCACTTGAATTAATTCAACTTCTCCGGATTATACGATTCAACAAAACAACTTCAAGAAAAAGAATAATCTTTCTTTAATACTCAACATGATCTTGAACTTTGAAATGCTCTCACTATTTTTGGAAAATTTAAAGTTAAAATTGTATTTAAAAAAGTTATTTTAACGTCATTTATTATACTATAAGGGACGTGCTAGAAAACTTTTATCGTTTCTCTCCAAAACTAAATATATTATTAATACTTTTAAGCCTCAAAAGAAACTTATTACAAAGATTAAAATTGCTCTCTTTTTGAGGAAAAAGTGATTTCTTATATGAAACTATATTATCCAAGAGAGAAAGAGAAAAAAAAAGAGGAAGAGAGAGAGAGAGAGAGAGAAAAGGACTCATCAGTCGCGAGATTAAAGATGCGCATTGTGGATCGACAGGTGCGCAACGCTATTCAAGCATTGCAGATGCTCGCCTGCTCACCCCAGAGTAATCCGAATCTGCCAACGCCGGCGGCGAGCCACGGCAGCGGGGTTCTCGCGAGGAGCTCATCACATCCCCCAGACGCCATTTGTTGGAATCCACCGGCGAGATTGATCGACATGTCGACGCAGACGGATTGGCCGGTCGACTTGTTCGAGACATGGGTGCGCGCAAACCCCCGCAGGGCTCTGAAAGCCCTCGGTCTCGATCCGAACGTCGTCCTGAGGCTACCTCCACCGTCGCCTACGCCGTCGCCGTCCTCGCCTCCGCCGCCACCCTACGAGCCCTTATCACCCTTGACGAGCTCGCCCCAACAATCTTCCCAAAAACCCTCGCGATCTCTGACGACAGGTAATTATATCATGAGCGTTATACGGGAGGGAGGGGGAGGGGATTCATATGTTAATGCTATGGGCGTTTGTAGACAGAACAAATTTAAGGGAGCGCACTAGGGTTTTATTAAAACAATGGCTTGATACGTATAAAAAATTTCTCTTTAGTTTAAAAAAAAGACAATCATTTTTTTTTAACGATATACGCATGATATACGTGGAAGAAAAAAAGCTTCTTAGACGGAATACATATATACATATAACAGAGAGAGAAAGAAAGATACGTCTTATCATAGAGGAGACTAATCATTCGTACGATTCCGCGAATTCATTTTTCAACCTTTCCGCGAAAAGAATTTTCTTCGAAGGAGAAAATACTCCCCTGAGTTTTCCCCATATTGCGAAAAGATACATTTTTCTGAAAACAGAGAGACCCGTTGCGGGGAAAGTTGCGTATATTTTCATTAGAAGCACCTTCGTAAAGGGTTGCGCGGATGGTGGATTTGAACCTCCGAAGGGAAACCTCGTAAAGGGGATACCTTTCACCTTAGCTTCCTACACGGGATATCCCTTCGCATACGAGTTACTCATATCAGTTCAAGCATATGTTTCTCTAGTGGATACTTACATGTTTTTCCTGTGGCAAAGAAAATTTCTATATGAGAAACAACCGTCTCGTATGTATATATATATGTATGTATATATATATAAAAAAGGGTCACTGGACCCAAGTTACTTTTTTTTTTGTTTTGATCGATATTACTTGCTCTCAAAATATGTGACTTTTTTTTAACACTCTGTACACACACACACACACACACACATATATATATATATATA